CTAAGCGCCGCAATTTCTGCCTCTGTAGCTCGCTCGGACCTGCAAACATGAAGGGTCTCCCCTAGGGCTGCCGCCTCCGCTACAGCAATAGTTCTTGATTTCTCAGCTCGACCTAACTCTTCAACCGTGGTGCTCAACTCATCCTACAGGTTGACGACCCTTGTTTCACTCTGCTCGAGCTCGACCTTTAAAGACACCACCTGCGCCTGAAGGTCAATATTTTCGACCGTTATTCCCCTTGCTCACCTCGATCTCATCCTCCTTAGCCTTCAACGCCTCCTCAAGCACACTACATCTGCCAATGGCCCTCATAAGCTCTTCGTCTTTCTTCCTCAAATCCTCATCTTTCTGGTTGAGCCCATCACGGAGCGTCTGGAATTGGATGTCCTGGTTAAGAAAGTCAACAATCGTTCAATGATTAGAACAATACTCTCTGTACTTGGACATCATCTTCTTGAAAATGGCCGTCCTTCGCTCTTCCCGTCGGTCACGCTCAATCTCCATGATGAGAGTCTGACATGAAAAAGAAGATGGGTCATCCGAAACAAGTTACACATACGAAAGATTTTAACCTAAGATGGGAAAAACAAACTCACTCGCAGGGCCATGCCAGATATACCCAACGACACATACGCATCCCTCAGCGTCTGTAGCGTCCTATTCTCAAAATCCGCACATAGAGGAGTGAAGGCCGGTACCACCCGTTCCGAGTTTGCCAAGAGATCGTAATCTACAAGAATGACTATGTGCCGATCAGGTCCCTCCGTCCTCATCTCCACTCGTGTGTACCTCTCCTCAAAGGCCTGCACCTCCACAGGGTCGATATCGGAGCCCGACCCATCATCCTCCATGAGGACAGTTCTATCCCTTTCGTCCGCGGATGAAGAGCAGACCCTGGCTATTCGTTCAGGGTCTCCTCTGACATAGGTCCCCTCGACCCCTGACGGCCCTCCTTCTGTAACGATAGCCGGCGTAGGAGCAGCCTCAATGCCCAGTAAAGGTGCCGCCTCCACGCCCAAATCAATGGGCCTTTCCGACTCGGTATCAGCAACATCAACCCTTCCAATATCCACCCGCCGCTTTTTCCTTGGTACCGTCTCCCCTTCGTCATGGGACGATTCGTCAATTAAGTGCAGGACGCGGTGACCAAAAGTCTCAGACGACGTGACGGCTACATGTGGGGCAGAATCACCTAACGACGGAGTTAGAGTTTGATTATCTCGTGCAGACTCAGCTAGCACAAATTGCATTCCAGCCGATGCAATCACTTGACGAAACGCGGGCACCGGAGCCTTCGTGTTCTTGGAAGCCCGCCGACCTAACACGAAAAGAAAATTGCGTCTAACATAAATGCCAACGAGACAACAATAAGCTACAATAAAAACAAAAGGGTCGTAAAAAATAACATCACTCACTAGTCAAAGATTTGGGGTCGAACTGCCTGTTAAATGACAACAAATTGTGGATCCCCACAATATGAGGTAAGACGCGAGCCACCCAGTCTTCGATATCACGAACCGGGGGAGGTAGACGTTTATCAGCTGAAAGTAGAAATGCACGAGCAAGTCAGAAACAAAAGAGGAATGATAAACAAAAAACATGACGAACATTAAGAGGCCCTTACGATTAAAGTTCCACCGCTCAGGGAACCCGACTGGGTCCGCCACTAGATGATCGATTTTGATGAAGAAGTAGTAGCATCAGAACCGGCGGTTCGCCTTATCATCCAAACCCGTCACAAATCCTTTGGTCCCACAATAGCAGAGATGAATCAGCATGACTCTATAAAAACTAGGCGTGAAGAGGTGCAGCAGATGACGAATGGTGATGTCGCAACCGGCCAATTCTGCAAACTTCGCCAGCATCACAAAGGCTTTATACAGGTATGGGGAAAGTTGTGCTGGGCAGACGCCATAAAAGCGACAGAATTCCTCAGCAAGTGGGGGAAGAGGAAGAGAGTAGCCCACCAAGAATGGGTATTGGTAAAAAGCACAATACCCAGGTCGGTGGACTTGTATTGAATCGTTCCCCGTCGGAACAATGTCAACATGGGCAGGAATGCGAAATTTAGACCGAAGGTCAGATATTTCCTTCAACCCCATGACTGATAGCACCTGCTCAGGAGCTGGGGCAGGTTCTCTTTGGAAGTCATTTCCGACCGACGGGTTCCGAGGGATTATCTCCTCCACTTTAGGAAAACTTTCATCTTCCGCAACCGTAGGTTCGTTGCTACCGGAAGGCATAGCTACCGATAAAGGGGTGACATTGGAAGCTATATCAGAAGTGTGATGGGGGTTTGTTATTTCTGCATTAAATGCGTGTACAGTAGAACCGGCGGAAGGGAATCAACGGGAAATATATGGTTAACGGGAAAGCTAGAGCTGAGAAGTAGAAGGAAATTGGAAGCAAGGTCAGAGAAGAAATAGAAGAACAAGCAAAGTACCAATAAGTATGAAATTCAAAAACCTCATCTTTGAACGTCCCTTCCCCTATTTATAAGGTATTATGGCGCCAATATCGATGAAAGAAACTATTACTAACACTAAGATCGAAGCAACAGAGGCACTGGAAATGATGCATTGCAACGGGAAGATGGGTAATGATGACGTGCGTGATCATGACGTCATCCTATGTTAGCCACGCCAACCATAACCTTTGAGCCGAACCCGTCACGAACGCGACCTCGACTAATTCAGCTCGTCCTCCATGGAGGAACATTTTTGCGATTAGATACAGAAAAAAACCTCATCAAGGACTCCCAAGAGGACGACCTTAATAAGCGGAGGGACTAACTGTATGGGTCAAAATTCGATCTAGCGTGGCGAGTGCAAATGGACGACTGAGGCCGAGGCCGAGACTCGAGATTACGTACAGTCTAGTGCCGAGGAGTCGTTCAAAGGAGAATATCAGAGTCGAGGTCGGGTATAGAGCAACGGCTACAATTGTTAAAACGTCCTTTTAACTATGAATAGTAATATTCTGTTGAATATTCCCTCACATTGTACCTTTCTAGGGTTTTCTAGGAATATCCCTTATAAATAGGAAGAGAGAGAGAACAAAAAAAGAGATTCGAAACTTCTGTAAAAAAAATATCTTGTAAAAGGGTTGACTATCAAGAATATACAAAAAGCTTGTCTTGTCTCTTTTTCTTGATTCCATCATACAACATTCTTCTTTAGTTCACAAGATCCGAGGGCACATTGTTCACTATCATTGCATGCTGTCACACGTTGTCTCTGAAGAAGGAATCATCCACCCCATCCAATATTTGGGTGACTTATTGCTTCTTATTACATTAAATGCCATTTACCACATTTATTTTATGCATTTATTCTCGTATTTATATCTAATCATTGAGCATTAACTCGGCATTTTATTGATTAGAACACGGTTCACACCATCTAAGTTGCTAAATTTCGGATCTATGATTTATTACTTTTAACTTGAATTCACCCCTTATCCACTCATTAAAATTGATTTAACTAAAAAGGGGCTTAACACTTTTTGGTCAAACAAAAATAAAAGAAAAATCACTACAAATTCAAGTGAAATTACTCTTCTCCTCTTCAAAGCATTGCAAGCCTTTTGTAAAACCAGAAATAATGGGTACGATTGGACCCCATGAATGCAATGAAACTCGCTGTCCCTTTTACCCTTTTGTTTTGTTTTTCTGGCGAAAGTTATGCCCAAATTCACATTTAGATGTGATATATTTTGAGTTCGATTGTTGACAATTTTATTCTCTCTGTTAAAATTAGATGGAGCATACACAAGAAAAAAAATGCTTGACTTCATTAATGGAGTAGAATAGAGGAGGGGGCAAGGGGGAAAGGAACAGTAAAATGGGAATAAAACAAATTAGGAAGAAGAAGTAAAGGAAAAATTGGATGGACAGGAACAATGGGAAAAGAAAGGGGGAAGGGGAACGGGAACAGGGGAATGGGAAGAACGACAAGGGGGGGGGGGGGGTAGGTTGAAAGTGATAAGCTTCTTTTTCTTTTTCTTATTTGCTTTTCCTTGTAGTTTCTATTTTATTCTTTTTTAACAATTTTTTTAGTGAAAATAAATAGACTAACGCGTCATATGAATGTGACTTGCACACACTTTGTCCACGTAAGATAAGTGTCAATTTCGTCAATATTGACGTGATGAGCTCTCAAATATAGCACAAGGAGATGAAAAGAGAGAAAGAAGGTTGCTAGAAAGGACTTTTTCCAACGAGGTCCTTGGTGGATTTTTACAGTTAATTTGTTTGGGATGAGGGGCGAGAAGAAGTCCTGTTTTTAGGAAGAAGGGATGGGGAAAAGAGAATTGGGGGTCTTTATTTATTATTTGCAGAAGAAGGAAAAAAGAAAGGAGAAAGGAAATGAAAAAGAATATTGGGGGGCGGGGGGTTGGGGGCGGGGGGTTGGGGGGAGGGGAGCAAGTTCATTAGTACGCCTGGTTCAAGAGGTTCTACCACCACTGGAGGGCCCAATCATAATAAAAAAGAAAGAGTTCTCTCTCTTATTCTCCCATGCTGTCTGTCTGATCGAAATCATCGAAAATCTATAAGTCGGAGTGCGCGTAATAGACTAAGGCTAGAGCAATAATTTTTATTTTATTTATTTATTTATTTTTGCTTTAAATGTGTTTTATTTAATTACATTTGTCAATTTTTTATTACAATTTATAGGTGTCATTTTTAAATTGGTTAATTTGATAAGTCATTGGCGAGTGTAACTCACGCATATTGGTTCATTGGACTCGGGTGTTCACGGGGCTTATTTTTTATGGACTATAAGTGTCATAATGGTAAAAGGGTTAGTTGAGGTGTTTGTCTGATCGGTTGAGGACAACGTAAAGGAGCCGATTATGTACTCGCCATACTAACACAACAAGTAAATTACGCTAAAATTAATTTATGAAAAGTTTATTCACTTTGACTTTTATGATTTCCTTTGAAAATAATATACGCCTTTATAGAATTATTTTCTTATATTCAAATTCTCAACAAAGAAATTGGCATCCAAATTGTGTCCAAGGCATAACATCATTTCATCTCCATAGTTCATCACATATGTGATATCATATGTTTATGTGGCTCTATCCGACTTCACTCCCCCTCTTAGAGGTTCCGTTTCAGTGTTCACACACTTCAGTTCTCAAGCCATTCAACTTCCAGCTATATACAGTTTTAACAATTACTACTACTACTAAAGCTCTTCTTGCACTTCGCCGCTTTATGATAATATGTTCTCATCAAGATCACTTTCTTCTCCTAATTTTACCCAAAACCTTCTTATAAACCAGGTTTTAGCTGCAATTATCCGAAATCGGCCGTTTGAAACAAATGTCGCAGCCTCAATTCCCAACCAACCCATTTGGACTGTAGAAGCAGTTTCTCAAGTCCTAAGATCAATCCCCATATACCTCTTCCAATCTCCAAGATCCATTGGCCGCCAAAGTGGGTTTCGCCACCGTACCCCATTAAAGCAAAGAAACCTAAGAGAAGAATTCCATAAGGCCCGAAAACGGGTACTCATTCTTGGCCCAGCTGCTCATAGAGATCCTCAAAATGTACAGCTAGGCGTGGACAAAGCTCTAGAATTTTTCCATTGGGTTGAGACCCATGGTGGGTTTACTCACAATGAGCTCACGTGCAAGGAGATGTCTCTTGTTCTTGCTAAAGGGGGTTGTAAATTGAAACTCATTTGGGAATTTCTCAAAAAAATGTCAAGAAAAGGGCTCGTTACGACACCGACCGTTACATGTTTGATAAAATGCCTAGGAGAAGAAGGGTTAGTGGAAGAAGCATTGGCTACCTTTTATAGAATGAAACAGTTTCACTGTAAGCCTGATGTGTATGCTTACAACACTCTAATATTAGCTCTTTGTAGAGTTGGGAATTTCAAGAAAGCCAAGTTTCTGTTGGAGCAAATGGAGTTGCCGGGGTTTAGGTGCCCACCTGATGTGTTCACTTACACAATCTTGATTAGCTCTTATTGTAGGTATGGTTTAGAAACTGGCTGTAGAAAAGCTATTAGGAGGAGAATATGGGAGGCGAATCACTTGTTTCGCCTTATGCTGTTCAAAGGATTTGTTCCTGATGTTGTAACTTATAATAGTTTGATCAATGGATGCTGCAAAACGAATAGGATAGAGAGGGCATTGGAGTTGTTGGATGAAATGGTGAAAAGGGGTATTGCACCTAATCGAATTACGTATAATTCTTTCATTAGGTACTACAGTGCTACTAATGAGATTGATAAGGCTATTGAGATGCTGAGAAGAATGCAAGGAATGGATGATGGAGTAGTAGCATGTAACAGTTCATATACACCGATAATTCATGCCCTGTGTGAAGCTGGTAGGGTGGTGGAGGCGAGAGATTTTCTTGTGGAATTGGCTGAACATGGTTCAATTCCTAGAGAATATACTTATAAACTAGTTCGTGAATCTGCTGGGAAGATTGATTTACTTGATGCAGAATTTTGTAGGCGATTAGAAGATGGTATTAAAGGTAGGATTAGACAAGTGATGAAAATGAAACCTTTGTTGCAGCATGAAAGTATTTCTTAGCATTGAATATTAAGCTTTTTATGGATTCTGATCTTATAAAAGATATAGGATTTAACTTATATGCACTGTTAGGGTAGTGTATTTTTTCGGTATGTATTTTAATTTATTATAGCAGGTTGCCCGTCTCATTTTCTAGGTTATAAATTCCAGTTATAAAGAACATAAATCAAATGGAATTTTTTAGGCACTAAAGCACAGCGCTTTTTCGAGTTCAAGAAGGTTATACGTTCTATTCCTATGTGCTCCAACCTGTGACCCCTTCTGGTAACTCAACCCCTTTAATCCTCGTGTAGAACTCTTCTATGCATGTTTTGTCTGGAGACCCATAGCTCAAAAACTGAGGGCGACGACACAGGTGCTCGATCATCCACATTTGTAACAATAAATTGCACCCTTCGAAGAAAGATTCCCCGGCCTTGCAAGCTGTAAGAGCACGGAAGATGTCAGCCAATATCATAGGTGCCAGTGTACTTTTGGCTTGAGTAATTAATGTGCTGACGACCCCAGCTATTTTTATGTCAATATTCCCATCCTTCCTTGGAAATACCAGAAGCCCCAGGAAAGCTACCATAAAGGCGAAACGTCGATGCTCTTCCCACTTTTGGCGGTTTCCTTTGCTACATATCTTACTTTCTGGGTTGTTGAACCCCCCAATATGGCCGTATCGCTGATATATGAAGCTTAGAGTACAAAAGCCATTTGCTAAATCTGTGTTATGGACGGCTCTGACTATCTTCAACGAGTCTAGAAATCTGTGCACAGCTACAACTCTGGGGGCGACCAAATATTTGTGCCTTAATGGAACCTCATCCTTTCCAATGTAGCCAGCTATTTCCTCTAATGTCGGGGTAAGCTCGAAGTCCGAAAAATGGAACACATTATGTGCTGGGTCCCAACATGTAACCAGTGCTCTAATAATATCTCCCCGAGGCACAATATCGAGCAAACCTGTAAGCCCTTTCAGATGTTTCTTGACTGCATCTTGCCCTTCTCCGCCTAAATCGTTCCACCACAGACGTAACTCCAAAGGGATTTTATGCATGATTGCAAATAATTCATTTCGAGTCGTGCTCATCCTGCACATTTGTTAAGGTGATTTTAATCACTTATTTTGACCTAAAAGAGAAAAATGGCACAATCTCTGTTCAAATTCCAATTTAAACAAACAGCCGGTATTGCGGATACGGCCCTTCAGCACTTCATAAGGAAGATTTTAAGGTTGTGCCTGCTAACCGTATAGAAGATGACTCAGGGTGGCTGTTCTTGCAAAAACAGCCTTCCGGCGCCCTTTTGGGGACATTCGGCTTAGTTTAAACAAGAATGGCGGCACCCGACTTATTTATGACGAAATTAAAAAAAAATTGGCATTTTTGGCTATTTTTGAAAAGGGAAGGTTGGACCCGATGAGGGTTGCCTACGTATCTCGCGTCCGATGAGAATCAAACCAGCGTAGTTCGGGCGAATAAACCAGGGTGGCAAATACACTATTTCTGAAAGCAAGATTCTTTTTTATATTTTCTTTTCAGTGGTAAATAAAATAAACTAATATGAAAAATAAAACTCTTTTTGTTTTTCTTTTCCATTTTTCTCTTTTTCTCAAAAATTCGGCAGCATTTCGGCACTACTTGGACATTGGGTTTTTCTAATATAGGAAATTAACTCTCTACACTGCTATTTTCACTTTTCCCTTTTTTTTTCAATTTTCCAGATATTCAAAGTCGGTCAGCATGCGAGTCCAAAACAGATAAATGCACAAGTAGGATGCATCAGGACGGTCCATTATTCCGGGTACACCTGTCCTAGACGGACCCAACCCCTGTGTTGAGTCCCCTAAGTCAAAATGCACGTGATGCAGATAAACGTCCTACTAGGGATCCGGCATGAAGTCAAGTTCTTCTAGGTTCAAAACCTGGGTATATGTTCTAGACTGTGTACCCGAGCGGACAACTCGAGTCGAGGAGGGGGCTACGTACCGGGAACCAAAAGGCCATCCGGCGTAGTAACTTGTCCGGCCTCTTTCTTATTTCAGGGTATTGACACTAACAGAATAGGGAGTCTCAACCAGTAAGCACATCCCCGGAGGTGAGGAGAGAAGGGTTTCGGCACAGTTTATATGCAATTCCAGATAATATCAAAGCGGTAAGAAGCAACATCTTGCACATTTAGCATGAAACATGTAGGAAAATCAGATAAAGCCAAATACAACAATATATCTAAGCTCGAATTCTGAACCCTGAACCAGAGATTCTGGGTTCTTTTCCCCAGCAGAGTCGCCAGCAGAGTTATAGGCTCCTGTATAATCTACTTTTTATATTGTTTATCCCTTTATTATCTAAAGTAGCACATTTAACCGTTAATTTATCAAAAGTTGCAAATTTAACCCAACAAGAAAGCAAGCTAGCTAATCTTGAGAATTTGGATAAAGAACTAACTGCATGCCCCCCCCCCCCCTCCCCGGGTCAGACGAGTTTCGTCATCAACTTTTTTAGCCGAAATAATTTATTTTGTAAAGGGCATACACACATCAAATAAACATACTATTTGTCTAAAAGAAATATATATGGGTAAAATCGAGCCCACTGCGTGACTCGACTTCTTGGTGAGCCAAACGGAGGAGGAACGTGAACATCATGTATCAGAGCCAAAGCGAAGAGCCCCTCGTATCGGGACTCGGGCAAAACACCTGCCCTTGGGGATATCGGGGCCATATCCTCCAGGTCCAAGTTGAGGATCGAGGCTTCGGAGAGCATTATCAAACAGTTGCGCACGACTCACAAAAGGTCGTGATGTCCGTGCTTGACTGGATATCACGGCGTGAATCTTGGCCCGTATCGGCAGAAAATCAGTGATTAGCAAAACAGAAGATTTTACCTTTTCTGGAATTATACTTAGGGTAAAACTCCCGTACTGTATAAAGGGAAAAGCTTATTATTCATAAAACATTGCAACACGCATATCAAGGCAATATACTATTATTTTTCTCTGTTCTTACTTCTGTTCATCAGTTCTCCAGTATTGTAAACCCGGGATTCAAGGCAGGCATTTCATTAAGCTATTACTGAGTTCGGGATCACTCTCACTATTGGTTTGGTAATTCATTACGTCTTTTACCTGTTTAATCTAAAGTTATTAATCATTTGTATTGAATTAGTCCGCATATCCTTAAAATCGCATATAAATTCATTTGTTATTCATTTATTAGGGTAAACAAGAAAAGAGTTTGTATACGGTTAAAACCGGGCTTACCCGATTTTGCTATTCGATCGAGACCACGGGATTGGGTCGAGGGTCTGTCTCGTAATGGATCATACCAGAGCACGAAGACAAGGTAGCTAATTCGAGGATCTAGGTGCCTGTCGAGATCGAGGCCAACAACGATCGAGATTGAATATGACAGGCTTCGGGCAAAGCGCAGTAACGAAAAAGCGAAACATCCGTAACCGGTAGAAAATCACAGCAGAGACCCCGGAACCGATCAGATCAAGGGCGGTTTTTTAGGCTAATCATAGGATTTACTTCTGCAATTAGAGTTATACCATAATTAGGATTCCTCGACTATATAAAGAGGAGTCCACATCATTTGTAGACACCTTACATCCACGAATATCAAAGCAATATAATACTTCTCAGCTAACTTTCACTAATAGAAATTCGGCAAAAACCGACCAAGGTCAACCGACCAATTTTGGTCGGTCAAAAAATCGGCCAAAAAACCGACCAAAGTTGGTCGATTTTTAAAATATTTTATTTTTTAATTTTTTTTACGAAACCGACCAAAGTTGGTCGGTTTTCTTTGGCGCAAAAATGCAGGAAACTATTTTTGAGTCCCGTAAAATTTATTATTCAAGAAACCAACCAACTTTGGTTTTTCATTTAAAATAAATTAAAATTAATCTTAAAAAGCCGACCGAAATCGGTCTGCTAATTCGGCCGGTGATTTTAAAAACCGACCAACTTTGGTCGGTTATTTTCGTGCAAAAATACAATTAAAGAGTATAAATGAAATAAAAGACAGTCTTAAAACAAAATGCACCAATAGTCTAGTAGTAGAATAGTATTTTGTCACAGTACAGACCCCGGTTCGATTCCCAGATGGTGCATTTTTTAATTACATAATTAAAATACCGATCAACTTTGGTCGGTTTTTCGTCAATATTTTTTTTTTTTTTTTTGAATTTAATTGAACGACCAAAGTTGGTCGGTATACCCCTCCGGCCTTCAAAATACCGTCCACACGTAAATGGTCGCGTTTTGGACGGTTATTGGCCATTACCAACCAACTTTGGTCGGTTTTTTTACGGTTTTGTCCGGATTTCTGGTAGTGTTTCTTCTTCATCAGCTTATTGTGCCTTTAACTATTCTTGCATAACTAGCTCAAGGGTGTCCGAGCTCGAGGACTCTGTCCAAATGTTGGTTTGCTTTATATTATTGTCAATTTGCATCACTTATCTTCACGTTTATCAATTGGTATTACGTGAAATCATATATCCTTAAAACGACAGTATAGATTCATTGTTATCCAAATTTTAGGGTAAACAGAGTTCTATAAGATAAATATAGACTTCTAGATAAGGCAAATGCCGAGACCCGAGTTGTGGGTAAACGGAGGTGTTAGCAAAGCACTAGCAATTAGCAAATTTAAGTTACTTGTCTAAAGTCATATAAGGAACCAAGAGAGAAAATATTAGCACTCTGTATAAGAAGTTGGAATAACCCAATTCCAATTTTCAAATATTCGTTACAAAAAGACGGGGGTTTGGGCGGGGGATTCTCAGTCCGTATGCATAATGACCAAATATTGTGCGGTTGCGGATTTGCTCCATTGTTAATTGCTCCGGTAATATTTAATAGTGGGCTTGATGTTTGCCATGTGTGCAGAAAAGATTAAAGGGACTAGATCTTTAATTTTGCTTCTATTTTAAAAAGATAAAATAAATAAAATGAAACAATCAAGCGAGAACAAATTTTACAGAGTCATAAAACATAAAATAAGCCGACGGAAAAGCTTTGGTATTAAAATAATAGTTAAGAAAACAAATAGAGAAAATCCAACAGAAACGATTTGACAGAACATTTATTCCTTAAGTGTTTTCATTTACATACAAAAGGTAAATAAATTAAACTAACGGGAATAATTTTGAAAGAGTTGATCTTTATTTGATCAAAAAAAATTTAATTTTACAGAAATAGGGTAAAATAAAAAAAAAAACAAATAAGTGGCAATGATTTGATGGGAATGTTATTCTTTAATCGTGAATTTCATTTTATACAAAAAGAAGGTAAATGAAAATAAAAATAGGGCTCCATTTTATTTATTTTACCTTTTTAATAGAAATAAATATAATGATCTAAAGAATAATGAATTTAGTCCCTATAATCTTTTCTAGACACATGGCAAACATCAAGTCCACTATTGAACATTACCTGAGCAATTTTCACTGGAGCAAATCCGCTCCCATATTGTGCTATGCACTCCTAAAAAGTTTGACTACTTGTAAAAATTTAAGTCACTTTGCATTAATAATGTTAGTAATACAATTGCTTGGACACGCCATTAAAGCTCGCCAAATCATTAGGAATTAGAACACCTCTAATTGCGGAGGAAAGAGACAAATTTATTCACAGCCACCAATTTTAAAATTTTATACTATTCCAAATTTTTATAATATTTTTTTTCTCTTTTTCTCCTTTTTTTTTTTGTGTGTGTGGTGGGGGGGGGGGGGGTAGGGTACTACGCGACCACGAGACGAGGAAGGGACGGTAGTAATNCTTAAAAGTGAAGGGCGAGGGGGGGGGGGGGGGGGGGGGGGGGGGGAATACCTAGGCACCCAGAGACGAGGAAGGGCGTAGTAATCGACAAAATTCTTCGGGGAATTGAAAATAAGCATAGATCGGAGATTCCCGAATAGGGCAACCTTTCGAACTGCTGCTGANTTTTTCCGATTCGGCGGTTCGATCTATGATTTATCATTCATGGACGTTGATAAGATCCATCCATTTAGCAGCACCTTAGGATGGCATAGCCTTAAAAGTGAAGGGCGAGGTTCAAACGAGGAAAGGCTTACGGTGGATACCTAGGCACCCAGAGACGAGGAAGGGCGTAGTAATCGACGAAATGCTTCGGGGAGTTGAAAATAAGCATAGATCCGGAGATTCCCGAATAGGGCAACCTTTCGAACTGCTGCTGAATCCATGAGCAGGCAAGAGACAACCTGGCGAACTGAAACATCTTAGTAGCCAGAGGAAAAGAAAGCAAAAGCGATTCCCGTAGTAGCGGCGAGCGAAATGGGAGCAGCCTAAACCGTGAAAACGGGGTTGTGGGAGAGCAATACAAGCGTCGTGCTGCTAGGCGAAGCATCCCGAATGCTGCACCCTAGATGGCGAAAGTCCAGTAGCTGAAAGCATCACTAGCTTATGCTCTGACCCGAGTAGCATGGGGCACGTGAAATCCCGTGTGAATCAGCAAGGACCACCTTGCAAGGCTAAATACTCCTGGGTGACCGATAGCGAAGTAGTACCGTGAGGGAAGGGTGAAAAGAACCCTCATCGGTGAGTGAAATAGAACATGAAACCGTAAGCTCCCAAGCAGTGGGTGCTTGGGAGGAGCCAGGGCTCTGACCGCGTGTCTGTTGAAGAATGAGCCGGCGACTCATAGACAGTGGCTTGGTTAAGGGAACCCACCGGAGCCATAGCGAAAGCGAGTCTTCATAGGGCAATTGTAGCATAATAATACTCCCTACATATGTTTTAAATGTCCAGATGACACTCTTTTCTTTATAAAAAGTTTGACATTTCTTCTATATTTAAATTTTAACCATACTGTAATTTCATATATCCTTAATGACATCGTACTAAGTAGAAACAACATAGCACGTTAAAAACAAGAAGATCTTAAAGGTAATTTTTGTATATTATATAGTATTATGAACTTAAGTATGAAAAACTTTTCTCAAACTCTCTTAACTTATTCTCCACGTCTATTGGATCATAGTCGATCGATTGCATCACAGTGTACAATATAGTACGTAGTACAGTAGTAATATTGAAGGAAATATAGACACAAAATTAAAGATAGAAAAAAGAACCTTTTGTATGAAAGATAGTGTAATTAATTGTGGTTTTCTAAAAGAGAGCAAAGCCAGGCCAATCAGCATCATTCACAGGTCGTCGGGGCGATGACTCGTGTGATGAAAATGAAGAGGAAAGTGAGTCATGAAAAGGAGACACTGACTTTCTACTTGACACCGACCACCGTGAAACTCTCTCCAGATCCGACATGTAATCGGGTTCCGACCCACTCTTCTGGTTCTTCTTCTTCTTCTCCGTTACTCGCATCAGCAAGGGGGGAGATGGGAAGCACCCATCTGAAACAACTCCCATAGAGGGTCGGGTCATCAGATTCTGCACATCAAACCGGTGCCTCTCGGAGCGTGCCCGTGGAGCTGAACGGAAGGATCGGGTTCGGGGCTCCGCAACTGGTGAGTGGAAATTGAACCCAGCTGCTGGTGGAGGTTTCAGCTTACGCGGGGTTTCTGGAAATGAACGGCTCTGATTTTTTGCTACTTCCTCTTGTTTGGCTAGTGAACGGTGGTGATCTGTTGTTATTGGTTCGTGTGAATGTGGGAGCTTGGGTACTCCGGGTCGGATTTCCCATTTAAATGGAATTGCTCCGGGCTGCGTAAATGAATCATTCATTTTTATTCCTTTTCAAAAATAGACTCAAACTTGAGCGTGTATATATGTAGGTGGAGAAGAAGACTTTTAATCAAAAAGACTAAAAATCATGATCAAAGGCGTAAAGAGTGGGGCTTGGTGGACTTTGTGGATATTTCAAATAATTGCATGTCATGTATTAAGAAAATGGAGATTGATAAATTTTGACACTATTGATATAATTGTACATAATGAGTTAAGTTCTTATTTTTTCAGGTGATTAAAGAAATTTTATCATATAATTACTTTGGTAAATGATTTGATGGTATAAATATTTTTGGTAAATATAAACGTCAACCATTCACTTATTTATTTGGTATAAATACCAGGTGTAATAGTAATACTTTATCATGCTTCTTTTCAACCTTCTCTTAGGAGCTCTCTCTACTTTTGTTCATTTGGTGACTCGAACCAACAATCATAATGTCATGGGCGGCTTTCCAGCCATGCCCCATGACCCCTTGGGCGCGCCCCGTGGCGTCCTAGCGAACCTCCCAATGCCTAGCGCCACGGACGGCCCCGTGGTCTTGGCCGCGCCAAGTGACAAGCGCGCAGGTGCCTCTGTCGCCCCACCGATATCCCTCGCGAGCGCCAAGCCGCAGGCAGAAGCCAACAGCGCCGCGCGCGCAGACCGTGATGCCAAAGACACTGCTGCTGACAACGGACCTGCTGCTACCTTATAGAAAACTAAGTCATTTTCATTGTAAATATAGAGTAGTTTATTTCATGCACTTCCATTATGTTTCTCTAGCTTAATTAGGTCTACTCCTGTAACTTTGAATTATTTTTTTTAAGTACTATTAGGGGGGATCAAGCAATCAAAACTTTCTAGCAAGCAAGCAATTCTCTGTACTGGTGTCTCTCCCCCTCGACACCGCGTTGCTTTTCTGTAATAGCTTTCATTAATGCAATCAAGCTTTCTTTCATTCTGAATTCTCATTTCTGTTCTCTCAATTGCTCTTGATATTGGTTTTCCCGTACGGCACTGACAATCTCGTCTAGCGTACGGAGGGGACCTCAGTTGGCGGACAGTAACTGCACTGACATCAGTTGCCTAGCCGTACGTCGCCCTTCCAAGGAATCTCAGGAAGGCGTCGCGTATCAGTTGGTATCAGAGCCCAGGCTCGACATCGGACGAGGGAACGTATTGACATACCACCATTTCTGACCATGGTGAATCATGGGGACCGCATTGCGGCCCTCGAAGGGACGGTTGAGGTATGGCGGCCTATCATGGATACGGTGCCTGAACTAAGAACCAGTCTACTGCAAAGGTTGGACGACCTGGACCGCAGAGTGCTTCGGGTCGAAGTTGACGTTGAAAACATCAGTCGCGACTCCGAGGGAGACCGGCAGCCACAGAGGCAGCCGAAATCTTTGACAAATTCGAGGGGCTCCAGCAGGAGCGCACCGAGGATTTAGCCCACAGGCACAAGAGGCAGAAAAGGTGACTGCCATGCAACAAACCATTGACAAATTGACAGACCAACTCAATGTTGTCAACTCTGCTTTACAGGGCCTACTCCGAGGAGGTGGAAACCAAATCGGAGGTGCTGTGAACTCCGCTTCCGTGACAAAGAAGCTGAAAATTCTTGAGCCAAAGCCATACAGTGGAGCTAGGAATGCCAAGGAAGTGGAAAACTTCATCTTTGACGTCGAACAGTATTTCGATGCTGTTGGGGATCTGGAGGAAGCTAAGAAGGTAGCAACTGCTGCCATGTATCTTCAGGGTGATGCTAAACTCTGGTGGCGTGTGAAGTACGAAACCATCAAGGCCGGTGAAGATACTCTCGACACATNACTCACCGAGCTTCGGAGACAATTGACGGAAATGCTTGATGCAGGGATCATTTGACCCTCCAAGTCCCCATATGGGTCCCCTGTTCTATTCCAAAAGAAACATGATGGCAGCCTGCGACTCTGTGTGGATTATCGAGCTCTAAACAAGATCACCGTGAAGAACAAGTACCCCATTCCCCTAATGGCGGACTTGTTTGATAGACTGGGTGCTGCTACGGTGTTCACCAAGATAGATCTGAAGACAGGTTATTGGCAAGTTCGGATTGCAGAGGGTGATGAACACAAGACGACTTGTGTGACAAGATATGGGTCGTACGACTTCCTGGTCATGCCATTCGGCTTGACCAACGCCCCTGCTACGTTTTGCACTCTTATGAACCAAGTCTTCCGAGAGTACATCGACGAATTTGTGGTGGTCTACTTAGATGACATTGTGGTATATAGCCAGACATTGGAAGAACACCTGGTACACCTGCGGAAGGTCCTAGTACGGTTGCGAGAACATGAACTATATGTAAAGCTATCCAAGTGCTCTTGCTCAGAAGCAAATTGATTTCCTCAGACATGTCATCGAGGAAGGACGCATCAAGATGGACCAGCAGAAAATCTAGGCCATTACAGATTGGCCGACACCTAAGGATGTCCACGCCTTGAGGGCGTTCCTTGGCCTATGCAACTTCTACAGGCGGTTTGTGAAGAACTACTCGCTTATCGCAGTGCCATTGACAGAACTCCTCAAAAAGGTCACACCTTGGGATTAGGGACCAAGGAGAGCAGAGGCCTTCAACGCATTAAAAGCGGCTATGTCTAGTAGTCCCGTCTTTGCCCTTCCTGATTTGGCCAAGCCGTTCGAGGTACAAACAGATGCTTCCGACTATGCACTCGGTGGAGTCCTGCTACAAGAAGGGCACCCTGTAGCGTACGAGAGTCGGAAGCTGAAGGATGCAGAGCGGCGCTATGCCGCCCATGAGAACGAATTATTGGCTGTCGTCCACTGCTTGCGCCTCTGGAGGCACTATCTGCTGGGAACCCCGTTCGTGGTCAAGACAGACAACACAGCTGTTAGCCATTTCATGACCCAGCCGAAGCTGAACGGTCGACAGGCCAGGTGGCAGGAACTCCTAGCTGAATTCCACTTCAACTTGGAGTATCGCAGTGGAAAGACCAATCATGTTGCTGATGCGCTCAGTCGGAGAGCTGACCTAGCATCGATGTGCCTACTCGCCACCCTAAGGGGGAACGAGGTAGCCACATCCATCAAGGACCAAATACGGGATCTACTCATCAAGGATCCTGCTGCTCAGTATTTGGCTGATTTGGTAGGACAGGGCAAGACTCGCCAGTTCTACATGGAAGATGGGTTTCTAAAAGTAAAAGGGAACCGACTTTATGTTCCTAAAGGAGGAGATTTGCGGAGGACTCTTCTAACGGAATGTCATGATACTCTGTGGGCCGGCCATCCTGGTGAAGAACGCACCATGGCGTTACTTCGTCGTGCCTATTATTGGGCTCAAATGGCCGATGATGTCGCTCAGTATGTGAAGACTTGTCTAGTATGCCAGAAGAACAAGTCGGACCGCTTGACACAAGCGGGACTCTTGGAACCACTTGCTGTCCCAAAGAGACCTTGGGAAAGCGTTTCCCTGGATTTCATCACCGGATTGCCCAAGGTCGGAGATCTCACAACCATCTTGGTTGTGGTGGACCGGTTTTCTAAGTATGCCACCTTTATTGCAGCCCCACAATATATATCAGCAGAAGATACAGCTCGACTCTTCTTCTCTCATGTCGTCAAATATTGGGGCCTGCCCAAAGACATTATTAGTGACCGCGACTCACGCTTTACTAGCAACTTTTAGACCTAACTCTTCAAGTGCCTTGGGTCAAAATTGAGTCACAGCTCAAGTTTTCATCCGCAATCTGATGGCCAGACGGAGCGGTTCAATGGTATGTTGGAGGAATACCTCCGCCACTTTGTAACCGGATCGCAGAAGAATTGGGTGAAGCTTCTGGATGCTGCTCAACTGTGTTTCAATTCACAAAAGAGCTCTAGTACCAACAAAAGCGCTTTTGAAATTGTTACCGGACAGCAACCGCTACTCCCACACACTGTGAATGCACCAAACATGGCTAAGTCTCCTCGAGCTGCCAGCTTCTCAAAAGAGTGGAGGCGGAATTTGGAGATAGTGCGGAGCTATCTTGTCAAAGCCCAAAAGCGGATGAAGAGGCATGCTGATCAGAATCGTCGCTTTGTTGAATATCAAGTAGGAGACAAAGTGATGGTCAAAATTCCAAAGCGGTACTTATTTGCAGGGGTCCATGACCCTCGCCTATTGCAAAAATACATTGGACCCTTGTCCATTGAAAAGCGTATTGGGAAGGTTGCACACCGGGTGGATACCCCAGCTTGGTGGAAAATTCATCCTATCTTCCATGTCAGTCTCCTGAAACCTTTTCGGGAAGACATGGAGGATCCTTCAAGGAGCCAGCTCACAATACCCAGTATTCGAGGTCCCAATTCAACCGGGAAAAGGCGTGTTGAAGCTATCCTTGATGACAGAGTGATTCATGCCTCAAGGAAAGATCACCAAGAATTTTTGGTGAAATGGCAGGACTGTGATGCAGAAGAGAATACTTGGGAGAGGGGAACAAACCTCAAAGCCTACAAGAGCCTCATTGAAGATTATTTTGCAAGGAAGGCGCCGAGGACGTCGCCAACTCAGGTGGGGGAGAATGTCATGGGCGGCTTTCCAGCCATGCCCCATGACCCCTTGGGCGCGCCCCGTGGCGTCCTAGCGAACCTCCCAATGCCTAGCGCCACGGACGGCCCCGTGGTCTTGGCCGCGCCAAGTGACAAGCGCGCAGGTGCCTCTGTCGCCCCACCAATATCCCTCGCGAGCGCCAAGCCGCAGGCAGAAGCCAACAGCGCCGCGCGCGCAGACCGTGATGCCAAAGACACTGCTGCTGACAACGGACCTGCTGCTGCCTTATAGAAAACTAAGTCATTTTCATTGTAAATATAGAGTAGTTTATTCATGCACTTCCATTATGTTTCTCTAGCTTAATTAGGTCTACTCCTGTAACTTTGGATTATTTTTTTTAAGTACTATTAGGGGGGATCAAGCAATCAAAACTTTCTAGCAAGCAAGCAACTCTCTGTACTGGTGTCTCTCCCCCTCGACACCGCGTTGCTTTTCTGTAATAGCTTTCATTAATGCAATCAAGCTTTCTTTCATTCTGAATTCTCATTTCTGTTCTCTCAATTGCTCTTGATATTGGTTTTCCCGTACGGCACTGACAATCTCGTCTAGCGTACGGAGGGGACCTCAGTTGGCGGACAGCAACTGCACTGACATCAGTTGCCTAGCCGTACGTCGCCCTTCCAAGGAATCTCAGGAAGGCGCCGCGTATCAGGTTGGAGGTGGATGATACTTTACCGCTTGAGCAATTCTCTCTTGTCCACATGATCATGTTCAATTTCACCAAAATCCAGAGGATCATATCAATCTTATATTAGCTAAAGCTGTGAGTTAAACGTATATAATAATATCTTCTCTGTTTTCATTGCTTGTTCACTTTTGATTTGATAGGGTTTTTAAGAAAGGTGTTGAATTTATGAATTGTTTGTTGCAAAGCATATGGGTCATGTGTTGAATTTTATGTACTTAAAGGTGTTGAATACCAAGCAAAGTGTTACGAAATTTAAACTTGGGTCTTTTAAAGATTTGGTGACATTTAGAATGTATTAGAACTTTCACTAAAGAAAATTGAAAAACATATATTTTAAGTGAATTGACGGTGTAGGAGTAAAGAAAATCCAAGATATTTAATTGGGGATAATGATGAGAAACATTTTCTATGATTTTATATGCAATACCCGATTTGAGATTTGAAATTAGGGAAAATGGCTACATCGACGTGTTGTCTCAATAATTTTGTGTAGGACTTGTGGAAAAGCAGTATGATTTGAGGGCATTATATGTATGGATTTGAATAAAAGTAATGAATAGCCAAAACGAAGATTTTGTCAAGACTTTAGGTTCGCATGACAACGACAATAAACAGGGCCATTCAAATCCGCCGTGAGGATTGGGAGTATTCACAAACATCACTTAGTTAATAGAACTCAAAGTGGAGCTCTCTTAAAGCGGAAAAAGAAAATGACATTGTATAGCCGCTGTAAAAATAATAGCCGAAAAAATATATAAAATTTATATATTTTTTGTGTATTTTTAAATTAATGTATGTTATATACAAAAATTATACAAATTTTATACTATTTGCTATCAGATTTAAATAGTTTTTGGCGCAGGCTAAAAGTGATAATACACCAAAAACAAAATCAAATTGACTTCCACACTATTGATTGAGAGTGAATTATGCCAACTATTTTGATACCAAAACTCATCTAAACAGACTTATCGATTCATAATTGTTTGACAGCCAATATGTTGAAGTTATGAGAAACAGATGAAAGGAAGTCTATTTTAACGAAAGATAAATACCTTTCGAACGGAGAGTTCTAATTGCTCCAAAGAATTTTAATTTGCTCGAGTTGACATGAATATCGAAACTATATTCAACATGTAAGTAAATTAATTTCTTTTTTTTTTTTGGGAGAAGATGCGGAATTACATATTCACTAATGTTTTCTGGAAAATGGAATCGTGAATAAGATATACAAAAAAAAAATGGAAAATGTCACATAAAACGTTTCTTTTTGTATAAATTGAATGGAGATCTTCTAAATAAAATAGACACCATTTTAGGACCAACATCCAACTGGTATATGGCTTCTGCATTCACCAACAAGGCTGCACTTGAAATGACGCTGGACAAGTTAACTTAGATCATCTAATCAGTTACTGCCTGTTCATTTTTATATGGCACATTTACTGTTCTATATTTGAAAACTCTTTAATTATAACTTTTCATTTTACCCTAAATGGCAAGCTCTTACATCCATAAAATGTCATGGCATGTATAAGACAAGTTCTAAAGATACTTTGATATGATATATGCCAAAAGTATTTCTTTCTTATGTTAAGTTCTGTGTCCAATCAAATACTACCACATAAAATGAAATGAAAAGAATAAGAACTTGACACCATATGCTGCCACATAATTTTACTAAGTAATACTTTAATCTAACTATAGGTCAATGTGATGCATATATAAGCCGTTACTAAGTTGAAAATTTTAGGAGGCAAGGATTATAACAAAGAATATAAAGCAAACCATATTAAAAGATTTCCAATAAACCAAATGACCTGTCGAGGAAAGTGACTTTACAAGAGTTGATAAGGGAATACAAACTCAACATAATCCACGTAGCCATCTAACTTTCACATGCCATGTCCTGTGGCATGTTGGTAAGTGCTTGCATTGTGGTGCTTGCAACATCCAGAAGTTGCAAATACTCATCTGCTCCATCAACAAGACACTGCAAAACAAGGGAAATCATAAGCACATATTTGTAATTCTTTAGCTAACGTTGTCAACTACAGTCAATATATGATCTGAGACATTATTACTGCACTAACAGAAAAGGCAAAGGTGAACTCTAATCTAAGGGAGAACTTGAGATGACACTATCATAAATACAGAATCTGTAGCGCACAGCTAAACATTCATGAGTAGTCAGTTCTCCGAAATAACAAAAACTAACCAGGAATAATACTCCCTCTTGTCTCGTTCTACAAGACACTATTACCATTTAGAGTCAAAACAATTTCTACTTTGACTACTACTTTTTAAACACTTTTCTAAACATTTATAATAATAAAAAATAATTCGTAGGATGATTTACATACTTTGCAGGGACTTCCAAATTCCGTAGAGTAGAATTTATTTCGAAACATCTAAGGAATTTATGAATGTGCTGAGAATTAAATATTTGACCCTTGTAGCTGTAGCCCCATCATACTCTTAAGATGGGGAGAATATATATATAGACACGTGTACAAAAGAGTAGAAACTATAATAATCACTCTAATAATAATAGAATAAGATGAAGAACAATAACCTTGTCTGCTTCAGCAAATTTCTTGCATATTCTTGCTTTCTGCTCATCAGAAATGTCGTCCGCATCAATTACTATATCATACAACTGAAGAAGCGGCATATTAGTACCAAACGTTGGCATAATTGAATGTAAAATGAGAAACACAGATATTGGGACCTGAGACAGCATCTGAGAAACAGGATATCCTTCTGCAATGACATCGTCCACTTCTTTGTTTGCCAAGTCAAAATTGCCACTTCTGCAAGCTGAGAATATGGCCCGGGTAACATCATTTGGGATGACCTGATCATTGCAATTACTTGTCAGTGCCTAAAGCAAGTGTAGGACCCTAGTATTTAAGTGGGATCATGGGTGAAGGGGCAGGCTTATACTCTCCCGAGTTTTGAATAAGTGGACAAACTGGAATTGGGCCAGCTAAATCACAGATATTTCTTGGTTATAAAACAAAAGTAGAATGCTGAGCCATGGATTTAGATGTGAGCTTATATGGTTAAACAACTGCGGCAACAGTTGAAAAATGAAAGAAATGAATAGATGAAACTGATCAGTGAAATCAAGCTACACTACATATGGCTTAAATTTAGAACACATAAAAATAGATTGTCACTTTATCAAACATAAGATTGAATAGGATATATTGCTACAAGTTTTGCCAAATCAAGTGATACAGATGTTTGCAAGATCACTGCCGGACTCCAAGAGTGATTATATTTGTAGTAACAAATAACGGATATCAGTATGTATGCTCTAGTTTGAAGAGCATTGTTAAGAAAGTGTCAGGGTTCTGTACAGAATCTGTATTTTCAGTAAAGAGTCCGTAATTATTGACACCAATCAAAAGGATTTTATGCTGGCTTTCTTATCTTACAATATATATAGACATTACCCAATCCTCGGAGTTTAAAGGAATAATCAAGCAAAACCTTCCAAAATCTCCTCTTCTTTTTCTTCAGTTTTAGCTACTACTACTCTTGTACTTGGAAAATTAAACTTTCTCAGATTGAAAGCACACCAGCATTGCTACTAGTCAAAAGTTCAGATGTCAAAGAAGATGCATTCATAATAGCCTTTAGTGGAAAAGAAGAAATATTAGAACCACTCATAAAAACGACATTATTGATAAGGAGAATGTCCTAATACATCTATACTGCTACATTATATATCATATACATCAAGGTATAGCAAAGTCCCAACAGCATAAATCAGAAAAGTGCCATCCCAAAGATATTGATAGATGAACGCATTGATCTTGTGGAAATTTATAGATGAACCACTGGTTGATGTAAAGACTACAGTAAACTAAAACTACAGAAACAAATACGAACTTACCCCCGACACACTAATTAGGTCCCTTGCCGATATGGAAGATCCAAATAACCGAGCAGCACTCTGCAGCAATTCAAAATATTACCAATCAATTTTTCACGGTTGATAGTCTTGCCAGAAGTAAACAAATGGTAAGAAAACACAGCTTGTCATTGGATATAATTTGTTCCTTCCACAGAACAATAGAGAAATTTTCATTTGCATTATGAAATGAGCCAAAATCGCAACATCCTCCTCTGGTAGCTGAACAAGTGTCACTACGATATCGATTATGGTACTGAGCCAACCAGTAATTCTTTTAGCTTCTTTTCCTTTTATTCAAAAAATGTAGAAAGCAGAAAATTCATCTTACTTGTAAGTATGTTATAGCCCTTCGTAGATCACCTTGAGAAATGGAACTGAGAGTCGAAAGAGCCTGCAATCAGGTGAGACACTCCTATAGATAGCTTAATTGCGAAGTGAAAATCGAACCATCATTTAAATGAAAGAAAGCAAACAGCTTTTACAACAAGGAATCAAGTTACTACATCCAAACCTCTGAATCTAGACTAAGACCTTCCTCTCTACAAATATGCAATATTCGGCTGCCCATTATTTCTTCTGTAAGCGGCTTGAATCTAAACTTCGCACATCTGGAAGCGAGTGGCTCTATGATCCTATACCAAAGAAGATTATTCAATTTATTACTGCTCTACATATAATGCACTCAGATCAACAACTTACCATCAAAACAAATGGCAAACCTATCAAAAGCAAAACAAGTTAACATCAAACCACTCAGGAAGTCTTTTTGGCACGGGAAAACAAATTCTCCATGAAACCACCCATTATTTCATGTAGATGAACAAATGGTTAAGTAAAACCTATTTGTGTGTTCATAGGTTCTTGTCAACTATGTACTGGTAAATAAGTTTTAAAAACTTCTTTCTTCTTTTAAAAAGATAAGGTTGTCTTAAATAGCATAGTGTTAGAAATTGATGACTTAAGCATTAAAGGTGAAAGAGGAAAAAACCTCATTTCTCAGTAAGGGACATGACAAGACCAGAAGGTCAGAAGCCAGCAAAGAGCATACAATACAATTGCTCTACATGATATATTATGAGTGTCTTCTCTACTCCTCCCAAAGCTAAAGGACATTCAACAGAAAGCTTAAAAGATCTCTCGAGTTTACCATGATGGACCACGTAATGTGCACAAATGTCAATCCTTGAAAACTAGAAATATTTTTTCTTCAGCAAAAATGACTTAGGCACTCATCTCAAACTTTGCATTTATCCCAAACAAATATACACGGTAATAGATAATAAGTCAAACCACAGATGCACCTCTTTACCATCTAACAAATCCCAAAAGTTATGGCAAAAGATTCCACTCATGACAGCAGAGGCATCTTGTAACAGCTTGAGAAACCTAGTCTCTCAAGCCCAAAAGCCATCATTGGTTGCACTAGTTATGGTTAATGTGTTCAATTTTCCTACACATATTGGTGCTCTATAATACCATAGAATAGAAAACAATGTCCTAACTAGCCGATCATATCATCATGATAAAGTTATGCCATCTTTAGGGTGAAACACTGTTATCAAAGGCTCAGTAGAAACGTTTAAGCCCTGAAGCTCATAAAAGCTCAGGGAAGGCACTGCACCTTCTTAAGTTGGGCTTCAATGTAGGCAAGGCACTAGGCGTGCGCCTCATTGCCCATGAGTTCGATCTTGAATCAAGCGGTACTAAAAAATAAATATAATCGGCAAAGAGATATATTAATTGTGCGGGAATGAGTCTGTTACTTTTTTCTTACATTACAGATTTTTTTTCTTCATTGTTCCTTCTTTTACTAAAGCTCACACTTTAATTGCGCTTTGCGCTTAAATCCCAAATAGACCTGGAGCATTTCTTAAAGCTTTTCGCCTTTGACAACACTGGAGTGTAACATTTCCAAACGGTCTTAATTCAAACCATTCAAACTATCCAGCTTAAAGAAGATCAAACTGAATAAGCAAGCCGATGCACAAATATGTAAAACCAAGAAGAGATCGGAACCTATTGCACTTACATACTGGCACTAGCTGCCAATGTTCACATTGCAGTTAAACTATTCTGTCTCAAGTAATCCCCACACCATAATGCCATAAACAACTAAACAAAAAAGCATTAGCACTAGTTTTGTTTGCGAAATAATTTCATCAAATGCTGCAACTAGAGAAAATGCATTTCATGTGAAAAGAGGAGGTTGATTCACAGAGAGATAAGAAATACTACTTCCACTTAGCCACATTATCAACTTTCATCACTGAGCTTATTTCAGTTTTCTTATACCTAGGAGAGAAAAGGAAATATATTGCTAAAAGAGCAAACACAATTGAGTTTCACCACACTATTGAAGGATCAATAAAAGATAGCAATCTACTTGTTTATATGGAACTCATGAAAGGCTTTGATACCAGCTTCCAAAAGTTCTTTAATTATTTGAAATTTTGGCAATATGACACCAATTTAGTTTTCTAATTATTTGTCTTGATATTCCGTCTTTCTGAGCCGAGGGTGTATCGGAAACAGCCACTCTGCCCTATCGAGGTAGGGGTAAGGTCTGCGTACACATTACCCTCCCCACACCCATTTTGTGGGATTTTACTGGGTAGTTGTTGTTGTTGTCGTCTTGCTATTACTTGCTATCAGTGCTTCTTTCACCTTCTTTAACCGAGGGTCTATCGGAAACAGTCTCTCTGCCCTTCCAGGGTAGGGGTAAAGGATGCGTATATCCTACCCTCCCCAGACCCCACTTGTGGGATTATACTGGGTGGTTGTTGTTGTTGTTGTTTGGCAATATGACACCAATTTTACAGTTTCAATAGTAGAATATACACCCCTTCTTTAAGATATTGTAATTTAATATATATATTGATCCAACAGATCTATAAGAAAGCAAGGGAAGCTGCAAAGATTTGCATCCAAAAAAAAAAGGAAGCTGGAAAGATATAGAAGCTAAAAAATATCAGCAAGACCAAAAAAACTGCAGAATGATACCAAACCTGCTGATGTAATTGCAAATGAAGAAGAATCTTGTAACTTTTGAATATGTCTCCATAGTGCGTCGCAAGGCATTCTGCGAAAAAGCAATGTTAGGTCACATTAAATTATGTTGCTTATTAGCAAAAGTAAACAGCAACTCACTTGAGCATCTTCAGTCATTGAATCCGCTTCATCAAGGATTATGATCTTAAAAGGTGGACAGGGATAACCACTGAAATGAGTAAGGAAGATATATGCTGTTAAAGAACGAAGTAAAAGAGGCTAAAAATGTGTTAACAACTGAAGTAGACAAGACGAAAGTTTACCCTTGCCGACTAGAACCTACAGCAACAGCAGCAAAGTTCTTAATTTTTGTGCGGACTACATTGATACCACGGTCATCACTGGCATTTAGCTCCAATACCCTCGACTTATACATCTCGGGTCTGTCGAAGAAAAATTCATTGTAAGATGATATATACACAGTAGAAAGAAAATAATGTCCCAAAGGTCCGTTCTTACTATATATCGTTCTTTGGAAACATAAGGACTTAAGGAGAGTATAGTTGCTCAAAAGTACTGGAATTTTTTAAATTCCTTCCATTTTCTTCTTTTCACTTGAATTTCGTATCACATTTCAGCAGAAGAACAAAATTACTTTATTTACTAAGCTAGAAATAGTATAAGATAGAAATTGATTTTCAGGAATCAGATCTATAAAAAACTTATCCATAACGAACTCCGCCAGAACTACAATTTTTGCCGTATTGACATCAACTAGAGCAAAATCCACATCAAAGGTAAACATACCCGAAAAGCTGATGGGCAATGGCGAGAGCAGTTGTCGTTTTCCCAGTTCCAGGAGGGCCATAAAACAACATATGCGGGCACTACAAGAAAAACAAACGAGGGTAATGTATTGTTAATGCAAAAATTTAAGGAAAAAAAAGGGAAAAGGAAACCCTAAGCAGTATTTAATGTGCATAGAATAAACCAATAAAAATGGAAGACAGAAATTGAAGTTACATTAGAGGTCTCGAGAGTGTTGGTGAGGACTCGAACGACCTCATCCTGGTGTGCTACGTCCTTCACTTGCCTCGGTCGACTGCAAAATGAAGAATATCAAAAAGTTAAAATATCTAAAAAGAAAATGTCCAAAAATATGAGTTTTTATTTGATTCGAAAGAAAGAATGTTACTATTTCTCGACCCATGGCTGAGAGCTTTGCACAACTGGCGCCATAGCAATTTCTCTCAACAGAGTATCTCTTACTTTCCTGAAAGTGCCCTTTCCCGCTCTGAGGGCGGGAGAGGAAGAAGAAAGTCTTTTTATATGTGATTATGTAATTATAATTTAGGCCGCAAAAAGCTTAAAAATTAGACTTTAGACCACAAAACGCTTACAAATTAGAATTTAGGTCATAAAACGATTACAAGTAGGGTATCAATTTGAGCCCAAATCCATTTTACCCGTCCGACCCGCCTATGGTTGTCTAACGGGACGGGACGGGACGGGACGGGACGAAATTAACGGGACGGGACGACATTTAAGCGGGACGGTGGCGGGACGGGACGAAACGGGACGGGACAAACGGGACGAAACGGTCGTCCCATCCCGTCCCGCTAACAAACGGGATGGGACGGGATGGGACGGGACGGAACGGGACGGGACGGGACGGGTTCGTGGGCCTTAAGTGTATTTTTTTTAATAAAAAAACGTCTAGTTTTTTGAAAATTACTATGTTTTTAAAGTTTGCAACGGCTAGATTTTTGACTTATTTAATAAACTTAAATGTTACTATGTTAGTATGTTAAAACGAAAATTAGAAAACTAAGTAAAGAATTGTAAAATATTAAAACAAAAGACTTGTAATGAAATAATCTAGTAAATATAAATTTATAATAGAGTTATAATTTATTTAATATAATTTCAAAGTATTAACTATTAAGTAACTAAGACAATTCATAAAAATAATTCATCGCTTAGAGCCTTTTGTTTTATTAATAGAACTTTCAAATCTCAAATACAAATATAATTCTTTTGAAGAGCACCTATTCTACGCAGCCACCTTCTAGGAAGGGTTCTGTATGAACTAGGCCTCTTAATAGCCAATTACAAATTATCATACTAATATTTGTAAGCTCCTATATAGCTTCTTTGTAACTTATCAATAATATCTCTTGGACATTCTACTGGAATTGGCAATGTTGATTGATGTTCCATGAGCTCCATGCCGTCATCGCTCCCAGTGGTAAGTATCTCATTGTATTCTTCTTCTTCCCTAGTGGTTAGTTTTTCAAAACCAAGATTTCTTCTTTCTGAATTAATCCAATCTCTGAATAAGACGGAAATCTCTAGACTGTCCTCCGCTAATGAATGTCTATGATCTCCAATTTGAAATCTTGTCGCGCTAAAAGCACTCTCCGATGCTACTGATGATGCTTGAATAGCCAGGATATCTCGGGCCATAATTGAAAGTGTTGGAAAAGTCTTGCCACGCTTCCTCCACCATGACAAAAGTTGTTCCTTGCCTTCTTCGTCTTTAATATTTTCCAATCCTTGATTAAGATAAGAATCAAGTTCATCATCAATAGAGGAATCAAAGCCTGTTATATCATCCATATCTTCCCATAAAACTTCTGCTCCAGACTTAGAAGTAGAAGGAGCAGTTTCAGTACTAGTTGTATCCATAGATTTATATTTATCAAACATTGATCTAGCATAGAGATGGTTGTTCATTTTCTTGAATTTCTAAATTCTCATAAATTTTACGAACAAGTCCCTTTGCACCTCTTAGTTTTAAAGATGGGTTAAGTAGTGTAGAAATTAAATAAACTTCGGGAATAGGGAAAAAATACTTTTAAAATTTTAAAATATAATTCTTTAATGCTGGTGCATAAGTTGGATTTTTTTTAAACTTACCAAATACAACAGAAATTCCACAAATATACCATAATATTTGTGTAATAGTAGGATAATATATACCAGAAAATTGTTTTGTAGCATAATAAAATTTTTCTAAAAATTTAGTAAGCTCTCTGATCTCATCCCAATCAGAATCAACAATTTGATCAACAGGGTAAGCATTATGCATATTAAATACCTTTTAGATGGGCACCCGATAGTCATAAGCAATTGTAAGCATTTCATAAGTAGAATTCCACCTAGTACAAACATCTTTTGGAACTTTTCTAAATGGAAGGCCAGCACTAGCACATTGTTGAGCAAATTCACGAATTCTACTTTGTTTATGAGCACGAAAAATATAGCCACAAGCATGTTGTATTTTACTACAAGCATCAGAAAATAAATTAAGACCATCTTTTACAACCAGTTAAAAATATGACATGCACATCTAACATGAAAAATTATTGGATTAATTGGACAAAGTCTAGATTTTAAGTTATTTGCCGCGGTTGTGTTAGCAGACGCATTATCTAAGGTGATAGTTAGAACTTTATTAACAAGTCCATAAAAATCAAGTATTTGTAGAACAATAGTTGCAATATATGCTCCAGTGTGTTTTGAATCAACAAATTTATAACCAATAATACGTTTTTGCAAGTTCCAGTGATGATCAACCCAATGACATGTAACAGTTAAATAATCACAACCATTAGGACTACGACCTATATCAGATGTGATAGACACTTTACAATCTAAGTGAAAAAATACACAACGAATATACTGAAGATATTCAGTTTGAAATGTAAAAACATCATTTCTAACCGTGGTCTTAGGAAAACTTTGAAAAGCAGGGTTATAAGTTTCTTGTATATAATGCACAAAAGCAGGGTGAGAAGGAAAAGTAAAAGGTAAGCCACAGAAAGCCACCATTTTTGCTAAGTTCTCACGATCTCTATCTTTGTTATATTTTCGTAAAACATGACCAGAAGCAGGGTCAAGTTGTTGTTGAATTTGATTAGAACCAGATCCACTAGGAGTTCCAGAACTGATGGTAGGATCTATAATTTTTCCGGCTTCTATGTTAGCTTGTATCCATAAATCTTTGTGAGCACTTCTTAAGTGTCTAGTTAAACCCCCCTTCCCACCACTTACTGAGTGTGCAAATTGTTGCTTACATTTTTCACAGATAGCACGATGATTGACTTTATCATGTTTAAAAAATTTCCATACAAGTGATGTTTTGGGACGTTCAACCTTAGGCTTACCCCTTACAGGGGGTACAGGGGGTAGGGGCTGTTTGGACCATTGGCAACGGCTATTTTTNAAAAAAAATATCATTGCCAAATTAGTCTTTGTAAAGTTTCATGATCTAATTGTTCTCCGACATGAACATCATAAAATGTGGGGGTTTGAGTAAATGAAGTTTCATCAACATGAGTCATTTCATCAATATGCTTTCTAACTCTAGGGGGTCTAGGAGAAGGGTTAGGATTAGGATTACTACTACTTTCACCTTTACTACTTTTTTTACTTCTTTTTTTAAAAATACCAAATACATTTTTAGGTGCCATAATTTAAATACGAAACTAAATTAAAAAAGCTAACACAAATATTAAACACACAAATAAAATACGAAAATATAACACGTAAAGTAAACACAAAAATTAAGCACTAAAATGATACGCAAAAATTATATATTAAAATTAGGAGATGGAACGAGTGCACCGTGATTAAATATTGAAACTTGAAGAAATTGCCCGAAATATTGCTCCAAATACTTGACAAACTAATTTGAAGCTTGAAAGTTGCTCCAAAAAATTTGCCCAAATACTTGAAAGATATCACTTGACACTTGATAGTTGATACTTGATACTTGATAGTAACAAAAATGAGAGAATAATATAGAATATAGATAGAATATTAGAATGTAAGAGATTTGAGAGAGAAGATTGATTTTTTGTGGGAAAAAATGAAGAAGAATGGGGGGTATTTATAGTAGAAAATAGGGCCAAAGTATAATTTAATAAACTTAGGGGTTATATTAAAAGTTTGGGGGAGGGGGGGGAGGTAGGGGGTGTTTTGGGGGTGTAGGGGCTGTTTGGACCGTTGGCAACGGCTATTTTTGCCATTTAAGCCATTGCCCAACGGTTAGTTTTAAAAAAAAAAAAACTGGCGGGACGCGGGACGGGACAGGACGGGACAAACGGGACGAAATGGCCTTCCCGTCCCATCCCGTGTCCCGCCAGACATTGGCCCATCCCATTTAACTTGAAGCGGGACGGGACGGGACGGGACCGGGACGGGACGCGGGACGGGACGCGGGACGGGACGGGTCGGCCCGTCCCGTTGGACAGCCATAGACCCGCCCAAGATTCGACTGGTTATTGACCCGCTCATTTATTGAACTAAACTCGTCTTGACCCAATTCATTTCAACCCATCAAAAGTTGGATTGATTTTCAGTTCGAATTGATCCATGAGTAACTTTGCTAAAATATCTCAAAAATAATAATTTTTTGTTTTGATATGTTATATATGACCATAATAGAAAAAAAAATCTTATTTGATAATTAAACAAGGGAAAAGGACTTATATCCCTATATTATTGAAAATAGTCTACATTTATTCTCTGTTATACTTTCCGTCTAAATTTATCCCTACCGTTAGCATAGTAAACAAATTTACCCTTAACCCACAAATGGCAGCATTCTCATCAATTAAAATGCCAACGTGGATTCCATGTCATAAATTTTGTACAGTATTTTCTTTAAATAACTAAACCCACTTAAATATAAGTCTTCTTCTCCAAAGCTCCAGCTGCCGTGACAGATCCCACAGACACACAATCCAGGAGGAGGAAGCACCATCGGCCGCAAATAAAATAAGCTCAGTAAAGAAACTTCAATGTGCCTACCTAAAGTCACAAACAAGTAATTTGTTATTTAGAGAAAGTTTAGTCCCTTTCTGATTTATCTTTTTCTCTTCGCTGCATTTTTTCAAACAGATTTAACTTCATTCACTAGTTTTAAAGCTGCGCATGCATGTCTCAAATGGATTCATATCCATTTACTATCTCAATTTTGACTGTTCAATTCATCGAGAGATTCGAAGCTCGACGAATCCAAAGAATTGCTAATCAATCAAGAAATATACAATCGTACAATTCAAAGGCCACAAAATCTGACGAGAATTTGACTAAATCGAATGAGTTGAGTGATTAAGATCTCAAGGCGAATGAGATTCGAACAATCTGGATATATACAATTGAATGCAGAGGCATCGAAATTGATCACATCGAAAGATTCAGATCGGAAGGTGGATGAGCCGAAGCATGATGATAATATTCAATTAGAGAAAAAAATGAAATTTAAGTGGGTTATTAGATTTAAGTTCGTTTGGTTATTTAATGTAAAAAAATT